CTATTGTAAGGTTTTTATACTATATGTGACAGGATATAGTATTATTTGAAGGAAGACACGGCTCAGTCAGGAGAGCTTGTGACTCTTGATCCCAGTGTCTTGAGTGCAAGCCCCACACTGGACACAAAGCTTACTTAATTAAAAAAAAAAAAAAATGAACACAGACAGTAATGAGTTGAAGATGTATACTATCAGCCTTAATGCAGTCACTAAAATAAAAAATAAATAAATAAAGAGTAAGAGATATTAACCCAATGATGGAAATAAAAATACTGGATTAACCTAAAAGAAAGCAGGACAGAATAAAAATAGAATGAAGGACAAAGAAGACAAACAGAAGACAAACACCAAGATGATGAACTTACATCTAATCATATCAATAATCATATTACATGGGAATGGTATAAACATCCCAATTAAAAGACAGACATTTTCAGGCTGGATAAAAAAATAGGATCCAACAAAATCTTGTCTACAAGAGATGCACTTTATTTTTTTTAAGTTTATTTATTTATTTTGAGAGAGAGTAAGAGAGGGTGTGAGCAGGGGAGGGGTAGAGAGAGAGGGAGAGAGAATTCGACATGGGGCTTGAACTCAGGAACTGTGAGATCATAACCTGAACCAAAATGAAGAGCCGGGCATTTAACCAATTGAGCCACCCAGGCACCGCAAAAGATGCACTTAAAAAATAAAGACACAAAATAGATTATTAGCAAAAGGGTAGAAAAAGATATACCAAGATGTTAATAGTAAAAAAAAAAAAAGTTGAATTGGCTATATTAATATCAGAGTATCAGACAGAATAATTAGTGGGGACAAAGTATAATACCAGGAATAAATGTTTCAAATGATAAATGGGTCATATAATTAACCCTACATCCTTATGGACCTAATAACAGAGCTTCAAACACATTGAAGAAAAATCTGATAGAAATGCAAAGAGGAATATACAAATCCATAATAGTAGTAAAAGGAAGATATCTGGGAAATATCCATATTTAGAAAATAAACAATATGCTTCTAAATAATTCAAGTCAAGGAAGAAAGTAAAAGAGAAAGTAGAAAGTTTTACAAGCTGAATGAAAATGAAAACATGACATATCAAAATTTGTGGGAGGCAGCCAAATCAATACTCACAGAGAAATTTTATAGCACTAAAGGTCTAAAGCAAAAAGTCTCAAATCAATAAATTATGCTTCCACCTTGAGAAAGAAAGCAAAGATGGAGTATGAATGGGGGGGTGAGGATGAAGGATGAAGAGTAGAAGAGGAGCAAATTAAATCTAAAGTAAGCAAAAATAAGGAAATAATAAAGAACAGAAATAAAAACCAACCTGGACTCAGGTTTCCCATAGAAAGTGCTAGGAAATAAAGCAATATCTACAAAGAAGTACTTTGTATTACACCAAATAAGTTGTCATTTTTATATAAAGCAGTAAGAAGTAAATAAAATCTCAAAGAGAGAGAGAAGCTCTGAGTCCTTCCTTGGGATAAAAATGACAAAATGCAGCCAAATGAGGGATATCAAAATAAACAATAAAGAAATAGGAGGATGGAATAAAATACTTGTGGTGGTTGAGCATTTAACTCATTTAAATATAGAAACAAGACTGTAAGTATTATGGCTATAGAATAGAATGCAAATATTAAAACACTAAAAATGCAAAGATAAAATAAAAATATAAGTATAAAAAATCAAGAACAGGATAAAATGCTGTGGGCTAATTTTCTCATTTTTCATAACATTAATATTGTTTTAAAAAGGAAATCCATAGTTTAGAAAAATGAATAGCTCCAATATCCTAATTTTTTTCATAAATCTTTCCTAAATATCATAGCCTTAAAAAGGCTATTATAAGAAGTATTTCTTGCAAGAGAATATGATGTTAAGGTGAACAGCACCTGGAATTTATATTTTCAAAAATACAATTAACTGTCACCATAACTGTAATCCCTTATCACATACTAGGAAAAAACTGAGGAATTTGGTTTAAACATGGAAAAACTGAGTTTACATGCCATAAATGGAACACTTCCTATGAAGGTTAAAAAAAAAGATGTAAACACTTACTTAAACCAAAAGAAAATATTGGTATATGCGTATTCCATTTTAGCTTTTATCAGTGAAGTTTCTGATGTGAACTCTGCATTGTTAAGTTCACTGAATTATGTGACAAAAAAGACAATAAGGTTTTGGGTTTTCTTAATGCTCATGAGCATTATTTATTTATGGAATAGTGGAAAGAAGAGCCGAGTATGTAGATCTGGTTTATTTTACATAATGCACATAGATGTCTTAATTATGGAAATTCGTTGAATAGATACACTGAGCTGCTTCCTCGGGCCAAGAAATTTTGAAATGAAAGAGTTCCCAGAATTTCAACTTGTTAAACCTCAGCTATTTATAATGACAATGTGAGAAGACTGCTGACCCTACAGAACCAATATGGAGGAGTCCACCTAATTTGTTGAAATATGTATAGATATATCTACTCAATCTAAACTTGTGGTTTGAGGATATACTAGGAAAAGACTATCCTGGATGTCTGGACCTTGAAGGAAACTAAAGGATTAAAAGAACTGCAGAGGTGTTATATTTAAGTGATGAATCACTAAATTCTACTCCTGAAACTAATATTACACTGTATGTTAACTAGGATTTAAATAATAACTTGAAACTTAAAAAATTAATTAATTTAAAAAATAATAAAAGAAATGCAGAACGTCTTTGTACACATAACATTACATTTCAGAAGAGATTTCACAGATTTTAATGCATAAGCATTATGGACTTAGTTAATATCAAAATAAATAGTTGTAGAGGGGTGCCTGGATGGCTCTGTAGGTTCAGTGTCTGACTCTTGGTTTCAGCTCAAGTCATGATCTCACCGTTTGGGGGTTCAAGCCCTGTGTTGGGCTCTGCAATGGTGGCATGGAGCAGGCTTGGGATTCTGTCTCTCTCTCTGCCACCCCCTCAAAAATAAATAAACAGGGGCACCTGGATGGCTCAGTCAAGCATCTGACTTTGGCTTGGGTCATGATCTCACGGTTTGTGAATTCAAGCCCCACATCGGGCTCTCTGCTGTCAGCGTGGAGCCTGCTTTGGATCCTTTGTGCCCCTTCTCTCTCTGCTCCTCCCCCACTCATGCTATCTTTCTTACAAATAAACATTTATAAACAAACAGTAAAAAAAAAAAAAAGTTGTAGAATATACAGCATCCCAGGTATTCCTTATGACTCTTATATTTTCAGAATGATTTTAAAATAGCCAAATTTTCAGCAAACTATCAACTTGCCTGACAATGTAAAACAGCATTCCTTTTACAAAATTGCTGAAATAGAAACTAAGGGCTAACAGCTCAGAGATATCAACTGGAATCCATTTTTGGTATTTGTTTCTGGCTGTTTATTTTTAACAAGTTTTAAAAATAATTCAATCTTCTTTATTAATTTGACCCAAACTGAGCGCTCTACATTTTATATAAACCTGGACTTATATAAATTGTTAATATTATAAAAATTTGAATTTGCCCAAAGTTGGCTACATGCACTATGGTACATAATTATTAAAAACTCTAAGTTGTTTGCAAGTTGGGTCTATACTACCATAAAAATTCCATTCATCCAGGCTTGGCCTATGTTAAATATACATAACTGTTTAAGACTGAGTGTTTCCACTCATAATTTGGAGTCCAATTGCTATATATCAAAATAGAATTATAATTATTTGCTAAATGTAGTTTTCCACCATAATATATTATCATACTTCATAGCCAATATAAATAACATAAATAATGCCAAATTTTAAACCAGGTGTTCTATGAAAATCAGATTTTCAAATGCATGATGGTTTGAAATAGCATGTAAATTCCCCTTAAAGAACCACACTACAAAACAGGCACCCAAGATAGTAACAAACAAATGAGGCCCTTTAGAAAAATAAAATAGAAGATAATGAAGAGGGAAAATTTCTTAATTTTTGAAATGTTTTCTCACATACTGTCAAAAGAGCTAACATCCTGTATATAATCCTCTCAAGGTAAGAATTTACTTGACATTATAAAGGGGTATGATTTGCCTTATAGAGGAATCAATAATAACCTTGTAAAGCCTAAAGCAGTGAACATAAACATGTTGTAGGAGACATTAACACTAGACTGAAAGAAATAATTATATTTTCAATAAACATGTTACTACTGGATAATCAATTTTTTACACGTCTTTGCAGCTGTTTCACAGCTCAGGTAGTGAATGGCAGCAGCTGTTATACCAAAACCATATATTATATGCATATGAGGTACTTCTAATTTCTCGTAGGTATCTACTTATTTGTGATCAGGCACATTTAACTCATATTAAATAAAAACAAGGTATTCATGGGGTGATTAATTCAGGGAAATTTTAGTACCATCTTATTTTAGATATGAACTCTTAACCAATTATTTTTATGTCAGAATATTTAATAATTCAAATTACATGCTGCCCTTATTCCCAGATTTAAGAGATTGTCACGATCAATGTTTCTGAAATATTAAATTAAAACATGTCATAGTAATTACTATGGAATAAACAGCAATTAAGATTTTTTTAGGCAAATAAGCTCTGTTTGCAGTGAATATTTATGCTACTACTATTTTCCCACACAATGCATGCATCATTCGCAACAAGCACCCTGAAAATATAAAATGTAAATTTTTAGAATTACTTCAAAAGATCTTAAGAAACTGATTTAATATGGAATTTGATACTTACCTAAGACACATCTATGTATAATGTATCCAAAAAGAGGTAGACTTGAATGTAAGTAATACAAATAATGTTACCATGGAATGATCATGTTTCTATTCTGTATTTATAATAATGATTCCGATATAAGCATTGACATGGGCTAATAATTTGCAGGATAAGTAAAAGACAATTATTTAAAAACGTATATCCACTAAAAAACTATACTTAACAGTGTAAATATGTACCAGAAATTTGAATTAGGTAAATACTTACTGCTATATAATAAACTCTTGCTTTTTGTACCAATGTCCAGTTTTTCTCCATATCAAGATGTTTTTCCTTTTTATAACAATTGGCAGCAGCAAGATTAGCTACAAGGGACCTAAGACAACAATAAAAAGCAATTAGGCTGTAATACGATAGTTAAAAGTTGTCATGTACTTCTATAAAATTAATTAACAATACATTTTGCAAATTTTGGTTTACATTTTAATTGTTAATTTTTTTAATTTAAAAAAAAGTTTTTTTTTTTAAATTTACATCCCAAATTAGCTAGCATATAGTGCAACAATGATTTCAGGAGTAGATTCCTTAGTGCCCCTTATCCATTTACCTCATCCCCCCTCCCACAACCGTCCCAGTAACCCTCAGTTTGTTCTCCATATTTATGAGTCCTTTCTGTTTTGTCCCCCTCCCTGTTTTTATATTATTTTTGTTTCCCTTCCCTTATGTTCATCTGTTTTGTCTCTTAAAAGTCCTCGTATGAATGAAGTCATATGATTTTTGTCTTTCTCTGCCTAATTTCACTCAGCATAATACCTTCCAGTTCCATCCACGTTGTTGCAAATGGCAAGATTTCATTGTTTTTGATTGCTGAGTAATACTCCATTGTGTGTGTGTGTGTGTGTGTGTGTGTATACACACACACACACATATATATATATATATACCACATCTTCTTTATCCATTCATCCATCGATGGACATTTGGGCTCTTTCCATACTTTGGCTATTGTGGATAGTGCTGCTATAAACATTGGGGTGCATGTGTCCCTTTGAAACAGCACACCTGTATCCCTTGGACAAATGCCTAGTAGTGCAATTGCTGGGTCGTAGGGTAGTTCTATTTTTAGTTTTTTGAGGAACCTCCATACTGTTTTCAAGAGTGGCTGCACCAGCTTGCATTCCCATAATTCTTAATTTTTTAATTGCTACACATTGATTTTATAAATGTAAATAAAATTAAATTTGTTTTGAGCACTTTTTGAGACTTCTCTGTTACCTCTGAGATAAATAGAGATATTGTTCCTTGTTTTAATACCACCTATTTTGAAAAACTGGAATTTGTTTCCTTTGGTACTGAAATGATAACATTATCCATTTCCTATATTTTAATGGTTTAAAATGCAGTTAGGAAATTAAACTATGTTGTTATGCAAAAAAAGACATATGAACATATGTACCTATATACAAAAACTTCAGTTTTTAACTATCAACATGTTATATACACTGTTTAACCTAATGCTTTAAAAGCCAGGTATGGGATTAATTTTACAAAACACACATATAAATGTAGGCCCTATTTACTATGACATATTAATTTGCAAACCAATACATTTTAAAGATTGGAGTAATTTAAAATTAATTTCTCTAGACGAAAACTCCCTATACTGGTCCAGTTTTGCAGCTGAAGAATCTAAGCAGGACACTGCATTTAAAATCTTGCTACAAGTGCCAGATAGTAATTTTGGTTATTGTACAACAAATATAGTTAATAAAATAATTATTTATGTTAAATACAAATCAATAAAAATATTTTCTTCCTCATTCTGATTCTGGAATTAGAAAATAACTTGCCATTTTTTTCACTCTCACAAGGGAACAGTTATGGTTAAAAAAAATAGACATATCATTTCATCACTTGAGATTTTTATAAAATGGTTGGTTCTTCTGTTAAGGAAAAAAAAACTAATTCCCTTCCAAAACATATTTCTACTCATCCATATGCCAATTGACTACTTCAGGATATATCAATTCAAATTTATGCCCGATTAAATGATTAAAATAATAACAGTATGAATCAATATATTTATATGCAAATATTACTATATTACAAAGTTAAGAATAATTAGGCCCAACTTATAAAAAATATTTTATTTTAGAGGTACCTGGGTGGCTCAGTCAGTTAAGCATCCAACTCTTGGTTTCGGCTCAGGTCATGATCTTACGGTTCATGGGTTCGAGCCCATGTCAGGCTCTGCGCTGACAGGGCGAAGCCTGCTTGGTATCCTCTCTCTCTCCCTCTCTCTCTGCCTCTTCCCTGCTTGCATTGTCTCTCTCTCACTCTCTCCCTAAAATAATAAACTTATTTTTTTAAGTTTATTCAACAGGGAGAGAGCGTGCACTCACATGAGCAGGAGGGGCAGAGAGAGAGGGAGAAAGAGAATCCCAAGCAGGTTCTGTACTGTCAATGCAGAGTCTAACACCAGGCTTGATCTCACAAACTGTGAGATCATTACCTGAGTTGAAGCCAAGAGTCGGACACTTAACTGACTGCTTAACTAACCACCCAGGCACTCCTAAAACATATTCTAGTAGTCATGACTTTAGCAAAATTTTGACAGAAATAATTATACATAAATATAAAAAGCAAACACTTGTGGTACCAGTTACTAACTTCTATTTTGATAATAAAATAACTCTTTGATAGTAAACTACACTATTTCTCTAAAGTGTAAGTACTCTCACTATCCAAGTGACTATGGTTCAGAGTTTGGAGAATGAGAACATGAATAAAGAAGAATATTGCATTATCCAAATTCTTTGGTTCCTGGGTTTTGGATAGTGATATTAAGAGTGATCAGCCCTATCTAAAACAATTTATCTAAACATATTAAGTTCTACAATTTAGTTGATAATAAGTTTGATAGTGAGAGTTTCCCCCTAGTTTTTCACTTCTAACATCATCTGAACATTACTGATCACCATAACCATAATATTAGTATATTAATTAAGCTTTTGACATCTGGGAGAGCTAATATGATCATAACTGCTCTTTAAAATACCAATTTAGCATACAAAAACAATTTAGCAATTTTATACTACCCCAAGTGGTATCAAAGGCAAAATCTGACCTATTTTTCACTAATGAGAAAACTGTATCTGCATATTAAAGTTGTCTTTAGGAAAACTGAAAAGGGAAAAAGTATAAATAAGTATATTTCAATGTTTGAACAATAAATGGTTTTATTTCTTAAAACCTTAAAATGATCAAGTTCTCCTACACACAAAAAATAAAATTATAGGAAAAGTTTAAACATGGCTTTGGGACCCTAATTGTTTTTAAAAAGTTATATTTTTAGTTATTCAATAACTACTGGCCATAAAACTGTCAGGTCCTTCACATACATTTGCTAAAGATCAAGGAATGCACAAACAACAAACAAACAAACAAACAAAAAACAACCAAAGGTAAGAAAGTGGGAGAAGGGAGCAAAGAGAAGAGAGAAGGGAGGAAATATAGGAAGACAAGCAGCAAATAAGAAAGGAGGGAAAGAAGGGTAAGAAAGGAGACAGGGAATGTAGGAGGATACACTAAATATTTCTAGGTATAAGGAAAGTAAAATTTCTAGTAAATCATTATTTAAAAAGAGATCATTGTTGCTGATTTTAACAATATAACAGCTAGAGAAGTTATTTTGCTTTTCCCTTGCAAAGGAGAGAAAAGATGCTGATGAGCAATATGGTAATAATGCAAGGATATACTGAAGAAAAGCCTCTGTGTAGCTGCAAAAGGCAGGAATACAACTAATGTATGGGAAGTTCCTGAGAGATCTATTTCAAGTTCATAGAAAGAAGAATTTTCTAAAAAGTAAAGTTGCATAAAAACGTAATGGATTGTTTTCTGAGTGGTGCGTTATCCATGACTGAAGTTGTTTGATATGGATAGATGACTGTTTGCCAGAAATGCTTTAGATGACCTAGTTCGTAGGACACTGGATATAATGGAGTATTTTATATATGTTGCAAAATACATGTGTCTATATGTCTATGTATCTGAATATTCCAATCTAAGGATATGGTGAAAAGATCATTCATTCTTTTCATACCAGTTTCAGCAAGAAACTAGCTACAAGACATTAAATGAAATGTTTTCCTTATTTTCCTTTTCTGATCTTAATTATAAAAATTAGAGACTGAAATTGATAGTCCCAAAAATTTCATTCCAGGGGTGCCTGGGCGCTCAGTGGGTTGAACTTCAGACTCCTGACTTCCACTCAAGTCATGATCTCACAGTTTGTGGGTTCAAGCCCTGCATTAGGCTCTATGCTGGCAGTGTATGGCCTGCTTGGGGTTCTCTCTCTCTCTGCTCCTCCCTCTCTGCCCCTCCCCTGCTCATGCTCTCTCTCCCTCTCTCAAAATAAATAAATAGACTTAAAAAAATTTTCATTCTATATTCCTCGTGAATACAAAAGCAGGTACAATAAGGATCATTTTTTTTTTTTTAAAGAAAATGATACAAGGAAGAACAGTTGTTTTTTTTTAAATGTTTATTTTTGAGAGAGAGTCAGAGCGTGAGCGGGGGAAGGGCAGAGAGAGAGAGGGAGACAAAAGTGAAGCAGGCTCCAGGCTCTGACCTGTCAGCACAGAACCCGATGCGGGGCTCAAACTCACAAACCGCAAGATCATGACCTGAGCTGAAGTTGGAGGCTTAACCGACTGAGCCACCCAGGTGCCCCAAGGAAGAAGAGTTATTAAAACATTCAAGTTTCATGAGATCTAAATTCCAAATTCAGATTGGAATTCAGATTTTACTATTGTTTAAATATGTAATTAGTACAAACCTTCCCTTGGAATTACACTGACCTGTTGTCACCAGTGATGCACACGGCACAAGTTCCTGTTGTTTGCTCATTTTGCTCATAGTAATGAGCATCCACATGGGCTTCAGCAGCTTTCTTCTTCAAAATCTCTCCAAATCTATCTATCCCAATGCATCCAAAAAATGTTGCTGCTTTGTGTGGCTGCTGAATCATCCACTGAAAAACAGGAACATAAATAATTTTAATGGCTCAAAAATATGGTACACATAGAATGGTGGCATAGAAGGGATGCTTTGTTAGATGCTGTGGCTGTTATGAATGGAATTCCAATCCTGTACTAATGCTTATGATAAATGTGATGTAACAACCACATAATATCTTATACTACTTTTAGGGAAAAAATAGAACACAGTAGTTAAGAACTCAGAATCTAAAGTCATAAAGATTTTGGGTCAGTGCTAACTTGATATAGAAAATTAATAGTGAGTCGCAATAGAAGTATAGTAGCATTGTCATTAAAGCCCAGGCCCTATAATGAAGACTATCTGGATTCAAATCTTGCTTCTGCTATTTACTACCTAAGTAAGAGCACGTCACTTAGCATTTCTTTACCTCATTTTCCTCACCTATAAATGGAAAAATAATTATAGGTACACCTCATGACAAATAAACAACTTAAGTTTATGCATTGTTGAGCACATTACCCAGTACATAGTAAAAGATATATATTAGCTGTGGTCACTATTATTTTCATACTTAATTCATATATATATAAATTAAGCTAAACTATGATTAACTCTAATTGTTTTAAAAATTCAAAACTAGTGTTAAAAATTCTAATATCTCGGGGTGGGGGGGAGGGTAAAAAAAAAATTCTAATATCTCAGTTTCAGTAGTCTCGAACTTTAATTTCCTTGCTATAAAATGACAATGGATTGCTTTTAAAATATATGTTTTTCACTGATATGAACTGTCATCTTTCATAATTAGCTCAAATTCCTGATTTTTCTAATACTTATAGTATCTATTTTAACACTGCCATCTATTTTGTTTCTAACACCAATATAAACAAAAAATCCCATGTACAGTCAAGACAGTAAAATTTTACACATTGCCAAATATTTGAAGTATAAAACAAATGCATGTATAATATGAAACAACATACGCATAAGTACTCTTTCAGACATCACTTGTAATGCCAAGATGTGAGAAATAAGCTAAATGCCCATCCATACACAACTGGTTAAATAAACTGATAAATCATCTCAATGGAACACCATACAGCAACTTAAAAATAACCAAACAAGGAAAAGCTTGGAAACAAGCTTTTCCAAACAAGGATTTTCCAAACAAGGAAAATCCATCTATATGGAGTAACTGCCAGGATATTTTGTGAATATTTAAAAAAAAAAGAGCAGAGTTCAGGGGCAGCTAGGTGGCTCAGTCAGTTAAGTGCCCAACTTCAACACAGGTCATAATCTCATGATTCATGAGTTCCAGCCCCATGCCAGGCTCTGTGCTGACAATGCAGAGCCTGTTTGGGGTTCTTTGTCATTCTCTGTCTCTACCCCTCCCTCCCACCCCCCATTCACACACATTCTCTCTCTCTTGAAAATAAACATTAAAAAAAAAGAGCAGAGTTCAAAAGTGTGGGTCTGTAGGTGTAAATGTATGTTTTAAGAGACAGTGAGAACTAAAAGCATATACAGTTAAAACCTTGGATTGTGAGTAACTTGTTCTGTGAGTGTTCTGCAAGATGAACAGTACGTGATGCCAAACCTCACATGATCACAACTGAGCCAATGGTTCTTTTCTCTCTCTCTCTCTCTCTCTCTCTCTCTCTCTCTCTCTCTCTCCTTCACTGTGGGATTGTGGGTGACTATCTCCCATATTCAGATGCTCAGTTTCAGGCCATGGAGTGTGGCAGAAATCAGTGACCTTTCAGGACGATGGAAGGTGCTCGCAACTCACACTCTCTTTGTCACTTCAAAGCACCTACAGACAGTCCTTTGCTTTTCCATACAAGACTAAGCTTAGGAATGCTTTGAATGCTTAGGATATCATAAGAGTCTATTAATACTGTACTGTAGTCAACATCCGTGCAAATGTATACAATGGCCCCCATGCATAAGAAGGTTGAAAAGAAAGGCAGTAAGAAGGAGATGATTACGGTGGAAATTAAGAAGGAAATCATCGAGAAGTACGAACCGATGGATCTGAATCGCGACGAACAGCAAGAGGTTATGGAGGAGATCTCATCTACAGAGGAAGAGGAGGAAAAGGCAGAGGAATCCCTTACTTCAAATGAGATTAGGGAGATGTGTAAAATGTGGGAAACTGCAAAATTTTGTAGAAAAGAACCACCTGAATAAAGCTGTAGCAGTGCAAGCAATGAATCTGTTTAACGACAATGAAATGTCACATTTCCATGAAATCCTTAAAAGAAGGCAAAAGCAAGTGTCATTGGATAGGTTCCTTGTTAAAGTTGCATGAAAAGAAATCGATTCCATTGAGCCAATAGACAGCAGTGATTCTGTTAGTGATAGTGAAAGTCATCCTACACAATAACCCTCCTCTCTCTTGTCTCCCTCACACCAGCCACGAAGGTTTTCAAAAGTAAGGGCAAGTTAATTTGTTTATTTTTTACGTTATGTATTTTATCATTTTGTATTATATTAAAGTACTGTAATCAAGTTTGCTTATTCTGTGAAAAAGAAAAACAGGAAGAACAAACCATAAACTAAAGAAAACGGTTTTCTATCAGGGTGAGTGGGAATGGAATAAAGAAATAGAAACAGAAGAAAGACTCTTCTGAATGTGACACTATATATAGAGTGGCCTTTTGAAATGTTAAAATTATACATTCTTGAAAATGTAATTCAATTTGAATTTGAAATTCATTTGGAAAAAAATGATAAAGTTGAATACAATAGAATCAAAGAAATTAAAGAAAATGTCAAATTGTAACATAACCCCATAGGAAAAACGCAAATAACTTTCAACATACTGTTACTTTTCAATGTACTAATAAAGGAACAAAAACCAAAAATATTGGAGAACAGACCATTTGAAATTATTCACTCAGAGGAGCAAAAAGAAAAAAAAAAGAATGAAAAAGAGTGAAGAGAGCTTACAGAACTTATGGGACACAATGAAAAAAAATATTTGAATTATGGGAATTTCAGAAGGAGAACAGGAAAAGGACAGAAAGTATACTTCAAGCAATAAATGGCTGAAAACTTCCTGACCCTAGATATAGAAAGAGATATTCAGATCCATGAGGCCCAAAAAGACCCAAACAGGCTGAATCCAAATAGGGCTATCCTGAGACACATTATAATTAACTTATAATTAAGTTGTCAAAACAAATAAAGAATTTTAAAAGCTGCAAAAGAGACAAGTTATATACAAGAAAAAACGCATATGATTATGGGTGGATTTCTCAACAGAAACTTTGCAGGCCAGGAGAAAATGAGATGAAACCTCCAAAATATTAAAAGAAAAAAAAACCCTGTTAACCAAGATTTCTGTATCCAGCAAAGCTGTGCATCAGAAATGGAGGGATAAAGACTTTTCCCCCAAAGAAACAAAAGCTGAGGAAGTTCATTACCACTAAACCTAGCTTATAAGAAATGCTAAATGGAGTTCGTTGAGTGGAAAGGATGCTAATTAACATCATAATAACATAAGGAGGTAGCATAAAACTCACTGGAAATGGTAGCTATGCCATCAAAGTTAGATTCTGTAATATGGTAATTGTGGTGCATAATTTACTTACAACTTCAACTTCAGTTTAAGTTTAAAAAAATGAATGTAGTAAAAATAACCATAAACACAATAATCTGTTATTACTTACACAATATAAAGATATGTAAATTGTGATAGCAATAACCTAAAGTGTGCAGGGAGGAGAAGTGTACAATTTAGCAATTCTAATGAAGTGAAGTTGTTATCAGCTTAAAATAGGGCATTATAATTTTAACATATTTTATATAAGCCTCTTTGTAACCACAAGGGGAAAACTTGTAGCAACTACACAAAATAACATGATAAAAAAGCAAAAGTATACTGTTACCGAAAGACATCAAAACATGAAAAAAGACAGCAGGGTAAGAAATAAGGGACAACATATCTACAAAACAATCAAGGAACAATGAACAAAAATGCCAACAGTAAGTCCTTAAGTATTAATAATTATAGTAGTCTCCCCTTATCTGCAGAGGGTATGTTCCCAGATCTCTGGTGGATGCCCAAAACTGCAGATAGTACTGATCCCTACATATATTATGATTTTTCCTATACATACATATCCATGATAAACTCTAATTTATAAATTAGACTCAGCAAGAGATTAACAGTAACTAACAATGAAATAGAAAAATTATAACAACATACTGTAGCAATAGTTATGTGAATCTCTCTCTCTCTCTCTCTCAAAATATATTATTGCATTTTACTCATTCTTCTTCTTGGGATGATGAAAGATGATAAAATGCCTACATGAGATTAAGTAAGGTGAATAACAGGCACTGTGACACATGGAATTATGTTACTGTTGATATCTTGATGATATGACAGGAGGAGGATTATTTGCTTCCAGAACATGGTTGACCACAGGTAACTGAAACTGTGGACAGGGGGTGAGGGGAATACTAATGTACTTTAAACATAAACAGATTAAATTCTCCAATCTAAGGACACAGGATGTCTGAAAAAAAAAAAAAAAAAGATCCATCTAAGATGCTGACTATGGGAGACTCACTTCCCATAGTGAGTGAAGGGATGGAAAAAGACATTCAAGGAAACGGTAAAGCAGGGGTAGCTATGCTGATATCAGACAAAACAGATTTTAAACTAGCAATCGTAAAAAAAAAAAAAAGGCAAAGAAAGTCATTATATGATAAAAAAGTAGTCAATCCATCCATAAGTTTTAACAATTGTAAGTATTTATGGACCCAAAATTGCAGCACCTAAATATATGAGAAAAAAAACAACAACAGCTAAATGGAGAAATGACAAGCAATACAATAATAGTTGGGGATTTTAATACCCCACTTTCAACAATGGATAGACCATCCAGAGAATCAATAAGGAAACAGCAGATTACAATAAAACCATAGACCAAATGGATCTAACAGACATATATAGAACATTATATTGAAGAAACAGCAGAATACACATGCTTTTCAAGGGTATATACAGTGTTTTCTAGGATA